CACAGTTATACAGATGAAAATCGACACCAAACATTAAAAACTCAGGGCCGGAGGTCCCGATTAACTATATACAAACTTCCGGTCTGAACAGGAAGTCGTGATTTTTCTTAATTAAAGCTGATTAAAAATTGCAGCCCAACATTGTAGCGACGTAAGCGAGCAATTAATTTACATACTGTAACATTTAGTTTTACATTGAAAAAGATCATACTTTACGTAACAGCATTATAGATGGATAACTCAATATGAAAGACTTGTGTGTGTTAAATAAACATTTTTTTTTGATCGAACAGAAGAAATCCGGGATATAGTAGAGAATGAATACAGTAATACCCCGAACTTACGGGATATGTGGGACCGAGCGGTAACCGCATAAGTCGAATTCGCGTAAGTCGGGGTATAATTTCGCATATAAATACATACAAATAATTTTTAATTGGGGCCGGAGACTAAACAAAACAATAATTTAGAAAAAAATGTTTAATAAAATCTTAGATAATACATATGTACAACAAATTAGGCCTATATTATTTTACAATTTTTCACATTTACTTGATTATTACGCCATAATTTTAACATTGTTTCCATCTCAGCGATAATACTGTGACGTTTACGAATGATGCTTGAATTTAAAGATTGAGCATTTTTCACAGCTGCGAGAATTTTTTCTTTGCCTTTTATAATTGTTCTGACCGACAATTCCGGTAGATCAAACTTCTTTGCCAATTCACAAATTTTCATTTTTGTATCGAAGTCTTTAAACGAGTTAAACGCGTTAGTAACGAATCGTTCGAAAAAATCTAACGAAATAGGAATAACGATGACGTCATTCTCGCTTAACTTGTTCGACTTTACGAACATACCCAATGTTAACTTTACATTCCAAAGATAAAGTTTTTCTTTTCTTGTTTGATGCAGAAGAATTAGTTCTATTTCGTTTGGATGGCATAGTAGAGTCTCTCGAGTCTCCGTAGACATAACAAACACAGAAATAAATATAACACAAAATAAATTGTAGCTATGTGTGGATTCCGCGCGACACATCCGAACATGTAAGTTGAACAATAGTGTGGGGGGAGTGAGTAATCGAGGGTTGCGTGGCGCTCAAACAAAAGACGAATCGACAAGATTTGAAAATCGCGTAACTCCGGGTTCGCGTAAGTCGGGGTACTACTGTAGATTGAAAAAGAATCGAACATCTTCCTCCGATAAAGTTACTCGAATCTAATCAAGGACGCCATGGGAGAACAATTGTTGATTTGTTTTACTGTGCTGTATAAAATTTATTCGTAAAAAGAATGGAATTTTTGTAACTAAATTTATTCTAGAAGTTACATGAGTCTACGAGCGACGACTATCCTGCTTCAAGTCAAAGCAACAGCACTAAAGTTGCAGCCCAACATTGTAGCGATGACAATATTCACGTGAGCCGTTCACAGACAGGCACGCGTATTTGTAAAATCTAAGTGACTCGTACAACATGGAATTCATATAAAACGGAATTAACAGTGTTATGGGGAGGTCGCCTATATTTGTACTACTGTATTTATATGTATAGTGGAGTTTTCGCTTGTTACTATTATTCATTTTCTTCGAGACAAATACTGTATTCTTTAAGTAGAAACAAATCCGTTTAAGAAACATGATTTCAGTAAATCAACTCTTTAGTTAATTGATCTAAGTCGTATATATTTTGTGCTAATGTGAGATTAGCAGTGGGCCACGGGTTAATCCCAAAACGACCACTTATGCTGCAACAGGTTTGGTAAACCCGATCTCGATGACTTTTTATCGAGTGGCGAGGGAGATGAGCAAGTCGGCAGGCGTCCTTTACAGGAGACAAGATTAACAAAATAAAGCATTTATTGAATAACTAAATCTAAATTGCAGGAGGCGAATTTAATACTAAGGTTAAATGCGGTTATATTAGAATATTTACAGAAGATGGCGACTAATTTCGTAGCTATGTCGCTGATCTAATTTCTAGTTCGAGAGAGCGCGCTTTGACAAAATCTAAATACACTAAATACCTCTCGGTGGAAGGGAGAGTTGGCGAACGTCGTCTGTATGGAATGTATGGGTGTGGTGTCTTCTCCGACAGACTTGTTCCGTGTGCCGACGGTGATCGCCCTTTTTATATCCTTATCGTGAGAGAGCTGACACGTCATCGACTTTTGTTGACGATGTCGGTGCATTCTTCACACCTAAGTGTAAACTTTCCCAGCTAATTGTTATTACAATCGGTGAAATCCGATCTAGTTTCAAAATCTTCGGGTTTTTTCCGAGGATATTTGCAATTAACAGAAAATTTAGATTTTTAAGAGCCCCGTAAAAATCCGCGGGCTCACAATTGATCTAACAAGTAAGTCGTATATATTTTGCGCGAGAAAAAAAAATCCCTTTATGAAACAAAAATCGTTTACTACGTACAGTACAGCGTGGTTATGATTTATACGAATTCAAACACTGATTAATTGGGTTTTACGTGTATTTATAGAATTTCTTAAAAATCAATCAATCTAAATAAATGCAGATTTATCACTAAAAATATCCTAACATTATTTAACTAATCGGTTCAGCATCGTACTAACAACAAAGTTAAACCATTACATATAAAGCACATTTCGCGAATCTTGTATAGGACCAGCCCATTTACTTAGTGGAAAGAACAGATTGATGAATATGTGACAAGGTTACTTTGCGTTACCAAAAAGGGAGCACCTGAACTTTATAAAACTTCCAGAGCACCAGCTGAATACCACGAATCGCCAGCTAAGATATATGAAACGATCTGTACTTTACATAATAAAAATACATACCGTATTTATTCTAATAAGAGCCTTCTAAAAGTCTAATAGTAAACGCTAACGAACCGCGCAGCTAAAAAGATGAAGAGGGCTACTATTTATTATTAGAATAAATTTTGTCGGTCAGATGACCAAGAAGCTTTTTTTGGCTGCAATTTGAAAAAACTGTAGGTCTAGAAATGCCTACTGTCCTCCGTCTGTCCATCTCTAGAACGGAGTTAATAGATTAAAGCCGAGATTAAATATGTAAAGATTAGAAGCAGGATGCCCCGATTCACTATATACGAACTTACGATACAAACCGGAAGTTCGTATATAGTATAAGTCTCGTTATTTCAATTCAAAAAATTTCTCCTGAAAGTAGTTAGCAACAGGGTCATGCCGGTCATCTAACAGGTACATCATACTTTCCGTATGATGTACAGGGACAAGACACTACTAATTTGAGGTGGAGAGAGCATATACTGTATTTTAAATTAAATGAATTAAAGAAAAATGATTAAAAATTGTAGCCCGGAATTGTGACGGTGTCACAATAAATAAATGCTCGTTTTTAATCTTTCCGTTCTATGGGCACTAAGAAGGCCTTTTAGCCAAGCCAATTGCGGGTTCGGCCAGACCCATAACGGGTGGATGATGGACGGCGCCCAACATATCCGAGACAAACCACTCCCGAAAAATTCCTGGGATTTTACGATCCTGACGGTGCACAGAATTAATCCAAAATGAGTCTAGCACGGCAGTCTACTACCTCGGTTGTGATCACTTATTTTCAAATTAGAAGTTATGAAATTCACACCGTAAAGAAGAGAAATGTCAGTTTGCATGATCGTTCCATGACTGTTCACGTTAAAATCGGGGCCAGTCATTTAAAAATTTCAAGTAATAGATTAATTTATTCATTTTGTCTTCTTTCTAATTACGTAAAATACTCGTGGAAGTTTTCTTTGTGTGTGTATTATATTATTATTTGATTTAAAAATGCAAAAATAAACATTAAATTTAAGAAACTCGCTGTAAATTACACCTATTAACATCGGCTTTGAGTGAAATTTGAGAGAAAGTTGTTATTTTTAAGATTAGGGTAGATTAATAGTAGTCAGTGTGAGCTGCACTAATTATGTTAATAAGCAACTAATTGTTTTATTGTCTTAAAATCAGGAAGAGTTTTAGTTTACAAGTCGGTCAAATTACAACGTTATTTTATTGTACACGGAATAATGTTTTCTTTAACGTTTAATTAACTAGTTTTGTGAAATAATTTAATATTACAATAATTCCCATTAAATTCGTGCTAATGAGCTCCATAACGACACGACTTACTTTTATCTACATTCGTTAACACTCTTATTAGCGAGAAATCTATTATTACATGAAGACGACGAGTAATGACTGAGTAATGAGACGAGGATAGAATTCTTATTTAATAAAGAACTCTATTCTCATTTTAGTCATCACCGTCTTATAGAAGTAGATTCACATTTAATTAGAGATTTCTTCTCATTACAACAGAATACAGGTAAAAAATTGTTACAAACTTTCACACATAATCACGTAATCTCAGAACTTCGAAGATTTAATAAGCAGCTGTTGAAATTTTGCTTGCGATAATTCTGCTATTAGTCTAATCTTGAAATTTACAAACACATTAGTGAAAGTTTGTAAAATTCAGACACGACGACTAATAAATAGATCGCAATCAGTTAAAAACCTTGACATTTTGTTTATATTTATGTAAAACAAATATTTAACTTATTGTAAACAGCTGAATAACGTTTACGATCAATTGTCATTACAGACTAGAAGCATATAGCATCCTAATTGTTAAAATGAAAACTAAATACTGTATATTATAATTCTGTTATATACTACTATATGCAGAAAAAAATACTTGTTCCATTACTCGTTTTGAATAGTGTCTTACATATTCTAAAACATTATTTTATAGAAAAATCAACGTCAATTAAATCTTAAAGTTGCTATCGTAATATCCCATAACCGTTCAAAGCAATAATTAATAAAAGCTGTTTTTCAATAGTAAAATTGAATGAGTTATTTTCGTTAATTTACGAAATGAACGATTTTCTTTTAATAGCACCTTTTGTTTCGGAAATTATTGCATATTCTTTATTCTTTACTAGCCTTTTCAATTCGTTAATAAGATAAAATTCATGAACAAATTAAAAATAGAAAATAGAAAACTACTTTTTACAGATAATTTAAACCAACTTTTGGTTGATTGGTTGAATTTGGGGTTGTGTGGCACAATGGTCTAGGTAGGACAGAGTGCCAGGTCTAGCCAATTATTAAAATAACCAAAAAGGGCATACAGCAACAAATGTGATAATTGTTCTGTTATATACAGAACTCAGGACATGCAAGCTTATTGCCTTCAGATATGTCTTTGTAGGTTGAATTTGTCCGTTTAGTATATTAAACCAATTTTTAACAGAACCTAAAAAAATTAATGTAATAATTACTATTCATTTTTAATAAATCATAATAAGATTCAAACCATTATTTTGAAATAATAAATAGCCAACAAAAAAAGTAACCGTAACAATATCTCTTTACCGAAATCCTTCAGAGAAAACATGAGTTCAGAAGAAGCACAGCTCCTCGAAAACATCTTCTCGACTGTTAAAGATCAATTTACAAAAAAAGCAGATGCGTTCATCATTCCTTTACACTGTAGCCTGATTTCTACAGGAAAAAAATGCGTCGGAGTCGGTGAATATTGGCCGAGAAGTTTCGATGAGAATGGATCTGAAAATCTACCTGAACGTTGGAATAAGGATAAAATGAAATACGTACTGAGATATTTGGATTCGGAGAAAAATCGCTTTTCGCTGGAAGTAATCGAATATAGAGAAAATCATCTGTTCATTAAATGGCTGCGAGAAAGCGACCAAGCTTCATACGCTACGACGTTGGATTTAAACTTCTTCGTTACAGATGCTTTCAAAGAATTCCAGACTGCTTACACAAGTAAATTAAATGTCTTCAAAGATCTCGTCGAATTAATGTTAAACTCGGTATTAGTACCTCCCGACATAAAAGACGACGTTAGCGATGATCTAGAACAGCACAGAGAAGAAATATTGGCATCGTATAGTGATGAACCATCAGATTATGACGATGATTAAATACCACGCGGACCAGCCGAGTAAAAATTTATTATAAAATCGAAAAAAATCAAAATTATAAAAATTATTTCGTGTATTTTTCAAAATTATTTTCGTTGAATAAATTAACATTTATTTATATACTAATTAATGGTTCAAGCTTGCATTTATTATCTAACTGGTAATTGAAAAAGTACAGTATTGTCGATTTTCTTGTTCAGATTAGCTGTTATCTAGTGATAAATTTATAACTGACTTATTGATAGTTCTTAATTAAACAGGATTAATATTTTGTACATATACTCATGTAAGTGCCTTAGAAAACGGCGAGAGCGTATTAGTCCACAAAACTTAAATTATCTGGTTGAAATCGAAATTTCGAAAATAAATCCAGAGAGTAATGACGAAAAATATATTAAATTCGATTAAATATTTGAATAGTGTACATTTATTAATGTACAATTATATTTACATACAAAAGAAGTCCGATAATTCGATGAGCTTTAGGTTTTATGATTCAGATAAGCTCGGTTAAAAATAAATTCTTTAAAGCTTTTTATCAAGTCATACGATACAAGGAACAAAGTAAGTATTTAAAAATTACATAAACTATATTAATAAGGGGAAAAAATCGGATTGCATAAATTCAGTGTAACTGAACAGCTTCGTTTTCATTTCATGGAAGTAAGATAAAGACGATGCAGCAAATGATAAAGCAGAAATAAGAATAAAGCTGAGTTATCAAATTACTTGATTTAATGAGAACTATTACCCCATTTACGTTTGTTTTCGATAAATTTATGTTGATGATAAAGCGATTAACAGCTGCCATTATCGCTACGAAGTAACGATGATACTGATTGCTACGATAAATGCAGATAAGTTGCACAGATTAAGTATAAATTTCCTTAATAACGAGAAGCTTATACTGTATATTTGTAATGCATTAGTTCGTTGCCTATTTCTTTTATTCTCATTTAAGCCAATACTTTTACTCCTTCCATTTGCTAACGACGTCAGCTATTACGATAATCGTCGATATGCACATTGACTAGGAAATATGTAGCTGTAACGAGCGCTGCATAGCTAACGCTAGTTTTAATTGCTGGCAGTTGGCGTTGCTCTCGATGTAACTAAATCATAGGAGTTTTTAATAATAAATTTTGCAATGTTAAAAATATTAAACGAACCTTTAAAAAAGTTTAATTGCCTCGGCGAGAAAATTTGTCATATATTGAAAAAAAAATCACTGGAACGAGAATTGAAGTAAAATGCAGAAGTAGAGAGAATGAAATGCAAAAATAAACAAATTGCTTGATTCTTCGCTCAGCTTTGATTAACACATTTAATAAGTGGCAAGCACGAACATAAATTTTAATAAACAGACACGACTGCTAATTTAAGTGTGGAACATTTCAATGTTGTTAAATGTAATAGCATTGTACACAGTAATACATTAATGTGTTTCTTGATACACAGATTAAAATAATTAATTAACCTGGGCAAAAAATTGAGCAAGGGCCAAAATAAGAGAGAGTTTTTTCACTAAGTAATGAGTATATTGGTACTTTTAACGAAGAGCTACTTTAGTAGTCAAGTAAAATGGGGGATCTAACACGTATGTGGGCGTTCTTAAAACTAATCAAAAACTGAAGTAATCATTTTACTATAGTCTCTTATTTTATTACTTAAATTAGAGTTATTACTCTGTTCCTAATTTTTAGAAACTTCGCTATCTTAATACTATAAAGTGTTTATTAATCTACAAATTACATGCATTTAAACATTGGTTCTTTCGTTAAAGAAAGATGACCAGGTCAACAAATAAGTCGTGTTTTGGGGTATAGTGTGGTTATTGTTAATAATTTTACAACAGTATTGGCGTTCATTTGTGTGATTTTAATTAAAAAATATTTTATTAAAATTTTTCCAATAAAGAAATGATTTTTTTTGTAGATATTGTAAGAGTTCATTACTTACAAATTTACAAAAAAAAAAATACGTTAACCATAACCATTTAAAAATATATGTATTTTACAATTAAACCTTCCAGCACCACACATTTAAATAGAAGATATTACAAGAATGTGCACCGTTGTTTCGAGTCCGGAAAAAAATGCGAGTTTAAGTTTAAATTTTCGGTTTTGTTTTTTTATTATTAAGGGACTTTTGGCTGAACTTCAGATATAGTATTAGGTATAAATAGATGAAGCTAAACAACAATATATTTAAAACAGAACTGTGAAAAACTCAAACATTTACTGCGCTCTTAATCCCAGTTTATTCTATCAATGTTCATTTTTACTATTAATAATTGATATTTTTGAACTATGGTGTTAACAATTTTAAATTAATGATTAAAAAGATTGTAGTTTACAAAAATATTGATCACAAATATTTTTGTAAACTATTCAAGTAATTCTTTCCTGTATTCTGTTTCATATTATTTCAAAGTTGTTTAATTTCAGCTATCACCTTAGCGTATGTGTTAACATAAAATCTTATATATCGGACCTGATTAAATCATATGGGAAAAATCAACAGTAAATTCAGTTTTATAGTTAGGAAGATTAACAAACAATGCATTAAGCAATTGTTCAAATGGAGTAAGGTATGACAATGCTACAGTGATTAAATGTTAATTACGTTTCACGAATTTTGACTGGGAGCTGCGCGTTATCGGAATGAGCCTCAGAATAATTTAATTAAAGAATGAGTACTCCGGTGACTCGAGAGAGTAAGCCTTAACTTTATATACTCTTATATTCTAACCTAGAATCAATCTTATTATTACGCATTCCGGAAGCCCGGCAAGATTTCTGAAATTTAATTTATATTTTTTCCATGCGATACACTAACTATACAAATACTGTGATTAGATGAAAGTTTTATAAGATAGGAATAAAGATGCACAAATGTAGAAAAACCTATCGAATATTTAATAAGCTAGAAGTCGGCTTGCAGCTTTTATATTTTTAACTATAAGGCCTATAAAATGGCAAGAAGCTTAATTTTGAGGGTAGGCATGAGTTTTGTAAAAAAAAATTGTAAATGCTAATAAGGAGCAAAATCGTCATTAAGTCAAATCCTACTCGAGATATGACACGATTCCTTTTATCTCCCCACTACGTCGATCTTTAACCACCAAAATTTAATAGCATTAATTCTCCTATACACAATCCTCCCAGCAAAATTGCAGAAATTTTCGACAAAAAGTACAGGAGTATTAAGCTTCAAAGAAAGAGTGGGGAGCACGATTTTGTTCACAAACATAAAAAAATACGGCCAAAAATGATTTTTGAAATTTGTACGATAAAATCATTAATTTTAGTGTGTGTTTAACATAATAAAACTTAATTTTGAATACTACTGTTTCACATAGCAAAATTATTATTTTCACAGTTATATATATGATTTAAATTCATAAGAACTTTGTAATATAAATAATTTGCATAACAATTTGAGCCAACAGAATTTTTGCACGCATGTATTTAGAATGTGTTTGCAATGAAGTCAAATTTCGTTTGTGTAAAATCAAAAGTAATCTGATATTTAAAATAGAATTTATTTCGTCGTTCTTTGCCGTAATCTCTTCAAATTACGATAGAGTTGATTATATTTCCATATTCTGAAATTACAAACCGAACATTATTCACCTAGCATTCTTAACCTGAAGATAACTTTATTCAAGTTCCACGCTTAAACCCAACCCACTACAGAAAGGAAAACAACACAAACTGAAATACGTAATACTTTTTCTCAAGCACCAGGAGTTCATAGAACAGGCGAGTTTTGGGAATCCCTGAAAACACACACACCTTCTATAAACTATCATATAAAACTCGTTTAGAAAGTAGCGTATTTGAAATATGAAAAATATTCGTCTTTCTCAGAATAGGAATAGAGCGGATGTTCATCAGTTTACATTCGCAAAATCAAAATAATTCCGCGCTCTCTATGAAGAAGTGGAACACTTTTTCTAATATACAATAGGTATAAAGGACGGAATAATTTTTCTTTCCCTAGGTGTGCACCGATAAACATCCGTCCCATTCTTATTTTGGGAAAGATTATACCTTTGAATTGTGCGAATTTATACTACTAAAAACTCGATAATTTGAATTAACATTAAATTAAAATAAGAATTTCAAGGAGAATAATAGCAGATTCGAATTATTAAATAATTCGAATAAACCAGATTGGCTGTAAATTATAAATTCGTAATATTGTACATATCAAATAACATCTTTCACTGTACTGTTTGCAACTATAAATCTCTTAAAATGTTAAATTCCTCAGCTATGAATTTAATGAAAATACTTAGTGATACTTCTAGTAGTACGTTCCCTAAATCCATAGAGGATTTAAAATTTTATGAAATGAATTAATGTAATATGTGTGATGAAATTTCAACTAGTATTGAAAATGAAAAAAAGTCCTTTTTATACCTGTAATTTGAATAACTGATACAAAACATGGTGAGTGAAAACATTGACTTAAATCACAGAAGGTAATTTTTGCCGCCAATTTTATGAGCTCTCGTTACATTTATATGACGAGAACCTACATAAAATCGATAGGTGTGTACAGTACATTATGTATATGGATAATTTTGTACACACTTATAATAACGGCTATTTCAGACTAGTATTTAAATTTCCAATAAACAAAATTCAGGATTTATATGCATGTAAGAAGAAATTTAGAAATAAATGCGAATCTCTAAAATCAGCCTTTACGGCTGTCATGCGAAATTAGTGTTGTAAAAAATAGCAAAATTTGTATTACTAATCATTTAAAAAATTTTTTTAAAATTAAAACACTTTTAGAATTCCCATTAGAACACAATTTCGAAAGTATTTTCAACTAGTATTTAAAGTGTAATTGTATGTAAAAGACAATGAAACGATAAAAAAGAATTCATGAAATGTATAACTATTTCATATCAGATAAGAAGTAATTATAGTATCAGGGAATAATGTAGAAGGCAGATGGTTCAATATCGGTAAAGACAACATTTAAAATATGAAGTTCTAATTATAGTTTTGATTCGTCATTTCGCTTTTTACAGAGAGTTTTTTTATTATTTACGTAATAAGTAATTATCATGGAAAGTAATTTTAAATGTAATAAATTCGTTTATTAGGTTTAAATAAATTCATGATTTAAGTATATATTCCAATAAATAAATAATCGTAAAAGATTTATACTATATTACTAATACTGATATAAAATTGCTACATTTTGTAAAACTTCATGTTTAATCGAAGGCTATTAAATTTTCTATATCTCAAAATAAAGTTAATACGTAAAATGGAAAATAAGATTTATAGCTATCGTTAAAAAATATTACTATACTTTAACAAATAAATTCCATCCTCGTAAAGAAATAAAGGGGAAAAAATGAGAAACTTTAGGACGACGACAATTATATATATATACACACACATATACACTTTAAATGAAAGTTGACAATTCTCTCTCCAATCTTACAAAAACATCTAGCAACCAGTTACTTAACTTTGTTATAATATTGTATTAAAAACTTTATATTTTTAATTATTAGAAAATGGCAAAAAGATCAATTTTGAGGATAGGGAAGGGTTTTATAAGAAATTGTAAATGCAACGAGCAATTATTTAACGTGACGTCATAATGCAAAGCTGCAATTTTTTATATTTTTTAAAATTTATTTAATTTAATATGCTCTCCACCGCAAATTAGTAGTGTCTTGCCCCTGTACATCATATTTTTCCTATTAGCAAGAATCGTGCCAGTTATGTATACAACTCCTTTCAGGGAAAAATTTTTGAATTGAAATATACGAATTTCAGATGCAAACCGGTAGTCACGTTATTGTTAATCGGGGCCTCCTACCCCTAAGCTTTCCCGGTCTTGAATTTCACTTATCTAACGCCATTCTCGAGATTAAGGAAAGACGGCACAGACGAACGACAGTGGGAATTTATAGGTTTACAATTTTTTTCAAACTGAAACCCAATTAACGAGTAAAATCATTAAGTCCGACCCTACTCGAGATATGGCATACGATCTCCCCTTTATCTCCTTATCCCGTCGACCTTTAATCAAAATAAGTAATAACAATCCCTCTAATACACAAACCTCCATGCAAAATTTCAAAAATTTAACAAAAAGCACGGGAGTTAAGCTTCAAAGAGGATGAACAAAATCAGCTGCCCCGCACTAACATCCATAAACACAGAAAATCCCCTGAACTTAACGTTAAGGTCCCGAGTTTAAAAATGGTAACTCTTAGGGCCGTACTTTCCATCTATTTGTTTATATATATATATATAGTCGGAAAAGTAATGAAAATTATTTTTTGAATTTCCAGCATTTTAGCAATCTACTTTAAATAAACGACTAACATTCACAAGACCGAAGGAACATGAGACATTGATACTGTAACATGACCCTAGCTGACTGATTGTTTTCATACAAAATGAGATGAAGCCAAAATTAAAAAGGTTCCCGATACAGCCAAAGCAACGAAGGTCATTTACAAGCAAGCCATACCCACAAACCATGGTGGGTGCATTAATATGAGTAAGAAAGATGCACTCCACTCAGCCCGTAAGATCCTCCTTAAGAAACAAAGAACAATTAATTTACATTTCGAGGTGTTTAAATAGTGTGTGTGTTTGTGTATGCATGTATGAAGACATAGTATACATGTGGCCCTTAAACCCGTCTGGTTTCGATTCCGAGTCCCCAAGGCCGGTAGGCTGCCACCTTGACTGCTCGGCCATTCGGCCAATTACTATATACTGTCTATGAATATAATACACACAAACACACACACTATTTAAAATAAATCTAGTCTATTAATGTAATTAATAATGTGTCAAAGTTCTATCATTACACAGTATATTTAATTCAGCATCATATGAAAAAAACTTAACGTTAAGATTCACATATATCAAGAACGAAATTGAAAGTATTTAATCTATACAATAATAATAACCTAATATCAAACAAATAATCAAAAAGTCTGAAGAACATTTTCGTCAAACTTTACTGAATACTTATTCTAAAATTCAATTAAACAGATTAACTACGCCTCTAAGTTTAATTTTATGTCGAAGTTTTGCTGTATTTTATTTTCCTAACTTTTCAAAAATTTGTTTAAAGTGCGTGTACACACTGCATTTTACAGAAATATTGCATTCAGTTAAAAAATCAATTTCCGTGATATTTTTAGTAAAATTAAAAATATAGTTTTTCAAAAACCTCTTGTATTCTCGAATAAACTAAAATAATAATCAATAAAATAACTGGATAGTTTTTAGAGATTATTCGCCATAAAAAATGACTTATTCTAAAATCTTTTCAAACTTTTTTTTATAACATTGACCTGATAGAATTTGTTGTTAGCTTCTCTAAATTAATGTTACTGTAGTAAAATATGTCTTACTTTGAAATTTTACAGACAAAAATCAATTCAAACACTTAGATACAAAATTAGTTATTGGTAAAAGAATAAATTTAAATTTATAGAGAATGAATAATTTAATTTTTAGATAGAAATTTGATAAATTATTGTAACTGTTCACGCATACCTTCAAATCTGCACTTCATATCTTCGAATTTTGAATGATGTCAAAACAAAATATTATCAGCAGCTGTAACAGACAGTCAAATCAAACAAATCAGTCGTTAATGAGTGACGTTAAGGTTCGAGGAAGTTAATATTAAATTCTATAACTTTATATAATGCAATTATAATTAGAAACAAACCATAATTTATGTAACATTGACATTAGTATTTTATATTAGTAAACTAACGCGTATAATTTTGTATCGTAAATTTAGTTATTATAAAAGTTAGTACGTAACTTAAAATGAACGTTTTAACATACAAAATTCCCAAGAAATCATCGTAATTTTAATCATTACACGATATTCGATACACATTAATTTTTATATTTTGAAAAGAATTCGACCAAAACAGAATCTAATGGTTTTAATTTTAGATTTTAAAGTTAATAGTTTCAAGTATTACATATTCTATATTTTAAAATATCTAGTTTACATGTATTGTATTAAAATGTTTTTAAAGCAAACAATACAAAATTTTTGTAAATATTTTTATAACAAAACAAGAATTTAATACCGAAAACTTACATTTCCACAAATCAAAGACATTTTTATTATACAGGTAGCATTTTTATTTAAAAAGAAAAATTTATATAATTGACAGAAAAATTACCAGTACATTAAGTTTTACTTTTTACAGTGATCTTGTGACTGTCTGGGCAGTCTAACATTCAGCAATTATACAATAACTGAATTATATAAAAGCTTTTCGTATAATTTATTAAAACCTAAAATATTTAGTGATGTAACGAATATTCGGTATTCGGCCGAATACCGAATATTTAATCACTATTCGGCCGAATACCTAAAAACAGGAGTAAGAAATAACAAAAAATGAATCCTTTTGGTATTTAGATTTAATGTTATCGGGTTAGTGTTGTTTGTTTATATTTATTTATAACTTATAACATGCACAAAATAAAAAAGAACATATTAATCACTTGTATTCACAATTTATAATTACAAAGATCAGCACACGTACACACCTATTCGTTCGAGAATCGTCGCACTTCTGAGGGTCTGACCCTGCCTATCCTCCTTTTTAAGCGCTCTTCTTTGCTCTTCCCTTTCTCTTTCCTCAATCGCTCTAGTCCACGTATGCCTATACATACATCATAATACGCCCTCACGATACTTTCGATTCGTCACTTTTCCGTCGTAGATTTCCCATTTTACAATTACGTGACTCATAGCCTGGTGATAACGGAGAAAAGAGACAGATAGGACGTCGATATAAGTCACAGTTATGATTTCACAGATTCGAGACAGCTTGATAGCCCGAACGGCCCCAGGCTTTCGCCCGTGCACGCTAAGTGACTTTCATTACAAGCATTTAGCTTTCCGAAGTCTATGACAACAATTGTTTGGCATTCACGGCTGAGAATTTTGCGCCAATAAGCTGCCTCGAGTTGTTCGAGGCAGCTTATTGAGTTGATAACATAATCGACTTGTTCGATTATGTTATCAACTCAATTTCATATTTATTTTCACATTTTCACTTTGCGGTCCTACTCTGTTCTACTTCCGTTATTTACACGTGTAGGTCATTTCATTGTAATCCACATTTGATATAATCACTTATCACATACTGTCATGACGCTCTTGTCTGAACTGTCAAGAATTAACGCGATTGGCGAAGCGTAGTGACAGTGGGCCAATAGAGAGCAGGGTCCTTGCCATAATGTGGTTTGCGCGCCAATTTTCGTACGTGCATTAATCAAGTCGAATAGTTTGGCCGAATATACTATTCGTAGCAACACTAAAAATATTTACTTAAATCACCAGTGTAAACTTACTTATCGAAGAACATATCTGATTTAATTCTAAACGTAAATATTACATTCAGGAAATAAATAGTATACGTAACTTATCAACTTCTAGTGTCACTGATAAATCGATTAAGGTTCAATATTTTAGATTTTTAATCGTTCTTTGAAAATTATTATTATTATTATTATTATTTCCATTAAAAACTAAAAATCATTTATGTAATGCTTTAATAATATTGTAACTTAAAATTATTAAAGAATGAGATGACAAATACGGATCGAAAATTTCTGCGAATAAGCAAATGATTAAAATTTAATTGCGATTTAAGATGAATAAAGGAAATTGGGAAAAATTCAGTTTCTAATTCGTAAAGCAGTATAATTTTTCAATAGTTTAATTATATATATATATATATATATATATATGACTTTCATAAGCTACTAGGCTATTACATATAATACTTTAGTTATTCAGATTGTTACTTTTATGATATTTTATTGTATTTGTCATTAATAAACAAGCAAGAATCACAAGACGACCGTTTCACGTAAACAAGTGGGAGATGAAAGCTTTGTGATCCTGGTTATTTAGACTATACAGTATATGGTAGGCCCAGCAGTGGCTGAGATTCTGTTCCCTAAACACTGGGAGTTCGATCGTGGGTTCGCGCTTCGCGGGGTTTCTGCACGTCTGTTACGCATGAATAGGAGACAGTTATCCTTAAAAAGACCTCCCGGAAGGCATCGCTCCTAAGCATATCGCTCAAGTGTTCCGTTGCCATAACTTAGACTTATGTTTTTTAGTTTAGTTAACGCTAAATATCTTAAATTAAAAATTAACCAAAAATCGTTACATTTTGACTAATACAATATTTAGAACGGTACACAATTCAAAATGATTGAAACGAGAACCTATAAAACACTGAAGTCATTACTTAGAGCGAGCAATAATATTCATTGAAAAGGATTAAAAAATTCCGAAGAAACCAAGATTACGGATGAAACATCTCAATTAAAACATTTTATGTAAAAATGGTAGTAATCAACTATTTCTACTATTTTTTAAGAAAATAATTGAAAAATTAATAGTTATATTTATAACTGCTTGACTATAAAAACTATTTGAAAGAGTGCTTAGTTCATTAAAATATATATTGATGCAATAGCAATGAATCAACTAATTCCAATATTTGGAATTGAGTTCAGAAATCAAGTTAAGGTTTAAACTTCGAATTTAATAGTCAAACTTGGTGAATTTAGAAATTCCATACAAATTTTTATACGAATAAAAATGAAATTACTATAAAACAAATGTAATGTGTTAACTGTATTCACGCAATTGGATTTTTCCCTCTTTCCACTCAATCTGTGGGCTGTAAGTGTCTTTTGATCATACCCATGATGGAATTTTTGCGAGACTGGCCCGACACATCCGGGACAGACCAGCTCCCGAAAAATTCCTAGGGGTTTTCGACCGCCTGGATTCGATCCTCTATTCCTGGAGCGGTACTGACGCTTCACAACTGCCTCAGCCTTCACAACTAATATACTAGCATCTTATGCTAGTATACTACAATAGGAAATCTGGCTTCGAGACAGTCCAGATACGCACATTTTATCGTGGGCAATATAGATCGAGGCACGGCCAATTTATTGCAATGCGCAGGGGTCTCCAAACTAGGCCCGTTTTGGTACACGTATTTCATATAAAATAGCACACTTTACAGTACTAAAATATTACAAATTGATTGAAACAAGTTTAAACTTATGTCTTTTTTGTAAATGCTGTTTAATTCTATGAATTAGGATCGTCAATTCTAATTACCGAAGACTGGTAAATTTATAAAACAAAGCAATTCAATTATTTCCCAAAATGTAAGTGGATAATGCTTAAGTGCCATAATTTTTTTTCAGCTAATCATAATTATATCGTTTCAACTGAACAGGATTTATACACAGCATTTATCTAAAATCTAGAATGAATAAAAAAACACAATTTTAATATATCCGAGTTACACAAATTTTATGCAAATATACATAATTAAAACCATAAAGGAACTTCATAAATGATTTAATTTTAATCTTAAAAGTAAAAAAAAAAAATATCTATTAAACAGCATTAGATTGTATAATCAACAAGAGAAGTTTCAGATAAATAAAAGATAGTAAAGTTAAATATTTTTACAAATAACACTAAAGATTTTTACAAAATTTATCATGTTGTATTAGAAACAAATGTTACAAAGTTGTTGTAGGTCCACCAGTGGCCAAGTGGTTTTGTTCCCTGAACTCTGAGTACTGTCGTGGGTTCGCGCCTCAACAGGACGTGTAGTTTTCCGAGTTTTCTCCAGTCTAACGCCTGAATAGGGGCTAGTTACCCTTAAAAAGACCTCCCGAAAGGCATCCCCTAGGAGGATCGCCGTAACTTAACAGACAACAACAAAGTTGCTGTAATTTTAAAATGCAGTAGTATTTTAGGTATTATTCTTAAGAATTTGTTTAAATTCGCAGCGCAATCGTAAGTTATAAATTTTTACGCGGATGTACTAAACTTTCCTCAAAAAGAATCCGTGTATTCAAAATTGAAGCTGGTCAATACAACTGATCTGTTTCCTAATGGAAACAGATCAGTTTATTGAAATAATAGTTTTACGGAAAGTTATTTTTACCCAACTCAAACACTATTTTCGACTGCTTTTAAGGTTCAAGAAAATCAAAAAGAAACAGTAAAAAATTTCTTCCATTTTAAAACTTTGTATGTCACATGTTTATATTCAAAGTGATAAAACAGAACAGCAGATGGCTCTTACCAGAAACCCATAAACATTTAATTTTATAGACAATTCTTTTCCAAAATGTGTAGAAGTCACGTAAATTTAACAATGCTGGCTGTATATAGTACTATTTTTGTAGTTTACCGATGTTTGATGGACTAAAATTCAATTAAAAACACATCACGCGCAAGACGTTAAATATTATAAGCAACTCAGCTTTTTCGAATAAAAATATAAAAGTAACATTTACTTTTTCATATTACACATTTGATTATTTTAAAATTCGAACATATATTAAAATTATCGTGAAGACACAAACTTCATGATATGACAGATACTTAACATAAAACTATCGATCATAATGTGATTCATAGGAAGTCTTAATGATATCACTGATGAATGCTGAAAGTATATTTTAAATTCGAAATTGTGCATTCATTTTAACCTTTTAGAAAAATTAAGAATATAATTATGCAAAAATAAAATCAAATGTAGGACACATTCGTCTAATAAATCTGTAACGCATTTCAATAACATCTACTAAGCTTGATACTTTGCCATCCACGAAACATTAGTTATTCAGATTGTTACTTTTATGATATTTTATTGTATTTGTCATTAATAAACAAGCAAGAATCACAAGACGACCGTTTCACGTAAACAAGTGGGAGATGAAAGCTTTGTGATCCTGGTTATTTAGACTATACAGTATATGGTAGGCCCAGCAGTGGCTGAGATTCTGTTCCCTAAACACTGGGAGTTCGATCGTGGGTTCGCGCTTCGCGGGGTTTCTGCACGTCTGTTACGCATGAATAGGAGACAGTTATCCTTAAAAAGACCTCCCGGAAGGCATCGCTCCTAAGCATATCGCTCAAGTGTTCCGTTGCCATAACTTAGACTTATGTTTTTTAGTTTAGTTAACGCTAAATATCTTAAATTAAAAATTAACCAAAAATCGTTACATTTTGACTAATACAATATTTAGAACGGTACACAATTCAAAATGATTGAAACGAGAACCTATAAAACACTGAAGTCATTACTTAGAGCGAGCAATAATATTCATTGAAAAGGATTAAAAAATTCCGAAGAAACCAAGATTACGGATGAAACATCTCAATTAAAACATTTTATGTAAAAATGGTAGTAATCAACTATTTCTACTATTTTTNATATTTTAAATTCGAAATTGTGCATTCATTTTAACCTTTTAGAAAAATTAAGAATATAATTATGCAAAAATAAAATCAAATGTAGGACACATTCGTCTAATAAATCTGTAACGCATTTCAATAACATCTACTAAGCTTGATACTTTGCCATCCACGAAACAATCATTTGAAACAATTCAGTTTTTAACAAAACATAAGTGCATTAAAATTGTACGAATCAAAGAAGACATATATTAAATTTTAATTTAGAAAAATGTTTTAATAACTTACGATTACTAAATATTTTCTAAAATTTTATGAAAATTTGGTATTTATTAATTTAAATCCAGAATTTCGCATTTAAATTTTAGTAAGTAATTATAGCAATGAAAATTTAAGGAGGAATATAATTATGTACTTTAAAATCAAGTAAAATCTATGAATTGAGTCGATGTTCTAAAATTAATATCTATTTTTCAATCTAAAAAATAAATTTGGAAATTAACCGACGATAAAGTCAAGTAGATTTACGACCGACGTAAAAAATTTAATATTTCATTATAAAATATTTTTATAAATCGATTCGTTCTACTTAAAACCAAAGTGTAAAATCAATAAAATCTGATACGCTGATGTTAATTGAATATCAGTTTTCCATAAAAGTCTTTAATATATATATATATATATATATTTTTTTTTCCTTTGATGTAGACAAATTTATCTTTTCGCTGATCGATTTCAATCCTCTTAAACGCAAGTTCAGCTCATTTCTTTTACTACATAAATTATCTTCATTTCTAATACTGCAATCATAGCGAATTTTTGGTGATGGATTTTGTCACACATGCGATTTTATGTAATAAATCAAGCTTCAAAATTTATTTTAATGACATTAATAGCTAAACATTTAACACTTCTAAGTGTAATCTTTCGACGTTTTAAGACACGATATGATATAATATGATGATATTAGTTAATTTTATGATAATTTTTGATTATATAACATTTTATACATAAACATTTAAAAAAATGTGTTAAATTTTTAAGTCTTATAAAAATAGAACAATGTTACTATTTAATAATTTTAACTGAGAAAAATTATTTTAAATGCAATGGACTTTAATTTTGAACTGTGAATTTGTACGGAAGTTCAATCTATTTAATAACACAGAAAATAAAATCGATATTCAAACATTATATATTTATTATATAAAGAGTGAGAATGTATTCATGTGTATAATGTGCAGACACGGTTGAGTATACATAACACGTGTATAAATAATTTATATTTTAACGTAACAGATTTGTAATTATCTTTATAAAATCCGAATATTAAAAGGCGACATGTAAATTAATAAATTTAAATACTTGTTATACATATAACATTTTTAAAAAAACTTTAAACATTGGAAAAATTAGAACAAGGTTTATTTAAATGACCTGTTTTTAAATTATAAATTATATTTATAGGATAAGATATTTAATTGAGAACAGATGCATTCGATTTCATTAATATACGTACAGAAAGTTTAAAAATAAATTGCAGAGATAACCTTAGATCAGACAAACAGATTGTTGGCAGTGTAACTAATTTTTAATTTCAAATTACCGTAAATAAGTATATAAAAAACGATTTTGTAGTAATTAATACGGCTTCTGAATTCGTAGAATTATCATCATCAATTTAAAAGTTATTGATAAAGATGATTTTATTACCGGGTATAAAGACATTATTTGAAACATTAAGTCCTATTAATAACGCAATTATTATTCTACGGCATTAAAATCATAAACACTGTTTTAATTGCAATTTCCTGGTGAGGTCTTTAACCGTGAATTTTTCTTAATTTTAATAGGACGTAACAAATTAATCGAGGTTTACGCGGATTTAAAAAAAAAAATTATTAGAAGTTTATGAAAGAAACTGAACGTACCGGTACACGTGAGAATGAATGGATGAAGAAATAAAAAGAAGACTCACCGTAATTTGATTCTAATATTTGTTAAATGTTCGCCGCTTTATTGGTTTGTACTTGAAAGCGTCCGTCCTTTAGTTAATAGTCCGTTTCATCCGGAGTTCAAACCAAATTCTGAATGTCCTTCTTCTTCCGATCTGTCAGTCCAACTGATTTGGCCGCTTTGGCGGCTTCCAGTTCCAGACAATGACTACTCACGCCCCCTGGCTAAAATTCTAATTGATTTAATATTAAATTATTCAAAAAAACTATTTACATTTAATTTACATTGATGTGTTAAATTATTAATTATCCGGCGGATTTACGAATATAAATTTAATTATAAATAGATTTTATTTAATGTTATACTGTATAAATAAATTCTATGTATATACTGTATGTTAAAATTTAAATTTTCTATTAGAAAATATTATGTTGTATTATATTATAATACATTCTATTATGATTTATTTTTATTGAGTGTTCTAAAACTCATGATTATAAAATAAAATTTCTCGCTTCATCTCTTGTATTAGCATAATAATACAAAGATTATCTAAATACCTGTAGTTACATAAACAATACTCAAGTGTTCTCCTATTTAAAATACAAAAGATTATCCTCAATCGATTCATAATATAAACACTTTATAGTCTTATTGCTTACTTAATTAACAATTTAATTACTAAATAAATTAGAAATTAAAGTATTATTATCATTATATTTTTAATTAGTTGGAATAGTAATTACTAATTTTTAAATAAAAATTTATTTCATACATTTTAATGTATGAAATAACACATTAAACACATTAAAATGTTTGTTTGGGGTAATCATAGTCCATGTTAGTCCATATTTGAATTGCTCACATTCAAATATGGACTAACATTCCCTCAATCATATTACATTTCCATAATTTTAATATGAATGTGAGTAATTAAAATATAGATTTAGATTCTCTCAAACACATTAGAATTTACTTTCCCGATACTCTTAGAATATATTTTGACATTTATTAGCGTAGAGCTTATTTATAAAATCAATATATCCATATTTAATTTATGTTATTCACTTGTATTTTATTAAAAAATGAATTAAAAAATTAATAAACAAACAGTTAAAAATTGCAAGTATTGGTAATGACTGATAGTAACTGTATAATTAAAATAACAATAGCGAGGTTGCGGCCGAAGTTTTCATCTCTCAAACGTGAACGTCGAGCGCCGCTATCTTGTAAGCGGCGCTCGACGTTCGGCGTTCACGTTTGAGAGATAAAAACTTCGGCCGCAACCTCTCTATTATTATACAATTATTAAATAAGTTATTACCGATAAATATACATTTAACATCAGCAATATTATTTCAATTGAACTTATTAAGATTTGCAAAACTATTTTTTAAGTTGTAGTTTCAATAGTTAGATATAGGAATTTGTTTATCATGTGAAACTTTAACATACCTTTCTACATTATACTGTACTGCATTGCTAGACAAAAGTATAAGTTCAAGTAAAATGTTTTTAGACTGTAAATGAATAAATTGTTTAAATGAAATGGTAATATGCAAAAGTAATCAATTATACCATCATTTTAATATATTAAATAGTCTTAAACTAGTAGATTATTTGAAAATAAAATATTAAGAAAAAATCAAAATTTTACAGAGATAAAATTATAAGGTCAGTTAAATTTCGCGCAAATGAAGTTATATCAAACGTTTATAAATAGCATACAAAGAGATACATTACTTGTAATAATTATTGAGAAAACAAGAAACGTGCCACGTGGTTGCCAATTCACAGATCCTGAAATTAAACAAATTTGGAGACTTCATAGCAATAGAGCAATCCAAAGTGAAATTGCTACTGCAATTAGCCATTCTCAATGTTATAAAACGTGGAATTAATGGGACCATTAAAAAGCGTCCTGGGAGAAAAAGTTGTTTATCATCTCGTGACAAAAGACATATTTGTTTACGCGCAACTCGATCTAAGTTGTCAGCCAATAAAATCAAAAGCGCTGCTGGACTTTCCTGTTGAACTCGGACTATTTCTCAAGTTTCTCAATCCAAAAAAAAAAAAATGTTTAAATACAGAAAATTAATGAGGAAACCGCCATTAACGAAGAACTAAAATTCTCGTTTGGATATGGAAAGAAAGATCATGAGCCGGACTCGTCAGTGGTGTAGTACTGTATACTATTTTCAGATGAAAACAAGTTTAAGCTTGATGGACCCAGTAGCGTAGCGTATTGGGGGCGGCAGGGGCGGCCCTCACCGGGCGGCACTTTTTAGGGGGCGGCGAAATTTCACAATAAATAATAATAATATCTTGTAAGAATTTGAACCATTTTATTTCATACTTTCGTCCACCTACTACTCGGACCGATTGAAATGAGTGCGGAATAGTGTTACCATCCATCCGGATAGTCGGGAATTGACTCGCCATTCGGGGATATCGTGCGCAACCTGTTGACTTTTTTTTTCTTTTTTTCTTTTTTGCTTATACGATTTATTCGTATATATATATACAAACCTCCAATATCCAATACAGCTAGGTCACTTGCGTTACTCCTATCCAAGTCACCCTAGCAACTAACTGTAACTGATTTAGAACCAGCATGCACTGCACATTATTCTTCGCATTGCAAAATGACATACGCATGCGTCAGGAACTTCTATTCAAACAAACTTCATCTGCCGTCCGGGTCAGCGATTTTAATAAGGTGGCAACACTAGCACGGAATTTTTCCTTACTTATTTTGTGAAGAAACTCAATTTTAATCTTTTAAATTGAGATACCTAAATAAGGGGGGCGAAATTTTACTCTGCCCCGGGCGGCTGACACCCACGCTACGCCACTGGATGGACCTGATACCTGATGGTTGTCAAAAGTATTGTCATGACTTAAGAGCCGAAGATGATATGCAAATGAGTCGACAAATAAGTGGTGGTTCCGTGATGGTTTGGGCTGCATTTTCGGTCCAAGAAAAGATTGATTCCTGGACGTTTGACCTCTAAATTCCATTGCACCTTGTTAGAAGATCAATTCAGTAAGTATGGTTACGTTCTTGGAGGTGAAAATTTCATCTCTCAGCAGGATAATGCATCCTACCACAATTCAAAAATGATGAAATAATAATTTTCTAGAAATAATATTGAAGTTTTTTATGACCCGCATTCTCCCAGATTTGAATTCATTACAGAATTTGTTGGATTTATTGTCAGGTTCGTTTACAAAGACGTGAAACGATTTTCAACAGTTGCAGACCTAAAAGAAGCCATTCAAAAATGTTGGCATGAAATTCCAGATGAACTGTTGATTAAATTAATTTATTCATTGCCGGATTGCATGTGAGATGTTATTTGTCATCAAGGAGATTTATTTTATAGGAGATATAATTGATCATTTTTGTATGTAACAATTTCATTTAAATATTTTATTCATTTACAGTCTAAAACATCACTTGAACTTATACTTTTGTGAGGACCCAACCGATGTCCGAAATCATGTAAATCGCGGTATTCTTATGATTAAATAATAACGATAGATTATATATGAGAGGGAAAGGAAAATCCCATAATTTAAACAACGCGGCACAAAATGTAGACAACGAGTCTCGGATGACTCGAACACGTGTTAAACAAACTGTCAATGTCAGAGTGAAAGATTATAAGTCAGAGACAAGTGGTCATATGCAGGTAGAACTTTGACCCCAGCGCTCATAAACAGTCAATCTAGGGAAACAATTTCGGAAAAGAGGGAAAGATTTAAGAGAGATAAATCATTGCATATGATCGTTCGAGTACCCAGATGACAGAAATCGCGAGTTGCGGAGCTAAATTATGAGCGCGAATCTTGCAATTTTGTCAACAATCCCCAAGAACAATCGACAGAAAGGCGTCGAGCAGACACCTGGAATCGGACCTTTCCCGTGACCCGAGTCGGTCTCGGTTTTCCCCAAAACAAGAGAGACCAATCGGAAAGCGAGGAAGGAGACGAGGGGCCAATCAGACGTCCGAATAGTGGGAGAAAAAAACTATAAAAATCCGAAATTCAAGGTCGGAGAGGCTCTCCTCCGACTCCCAGAAACGTCGCGACTGATATTGTGGTGTGTCGTCGGCACGAACTTTGGACTCCGCCGCTCTAACTTCATCTCGTCCGCCTTGATCAGCGACATCATCTTGTCCGCCCCGGGGCCAGACAGACGCCGAACTTCTCCTCTCTCTGCATCTCCGATGAGAAGAACTAGTGAAGGACTGTCGATTGTCGATGTAAGCATAAATGTTAACAAATAAACGGCTTTCTTGTGTAAAACACTTGTCATCATTTGCCTCCTCCGTCACAGCCCACATACAACCTTCCCTTAGGTTCATCCTGACGCGGGATTAATAGCTCCCACCTAGGAGACGGCAACCTTACACAGATGCCGTGAAGTGGGTTTCAAGCCCCCTATCTCCACCAGGGCCCTTAGTCTCGAGTTTTTCGTGTTGTACTCGAATTGACGTCATCGAACTCACTCGTGTTACTGTGACTCACATAATCGGTAGTCTCGAGTTAGACCCATCAAGCGAGCTCGAAAGGCGAGCGGAAGTAGGTCATATTCACTTGTTTACGTGTATCGTTAAGCATGATGGGATTATTTACAATGCATCTGGGTTTGCGACTATACTGATTCGACCAATCAACTTTACTGTAACAAGTTGTAAACAAATCAACGTGAATTAGTTTACACGTGTTATAGTTAAAAGTTTTGTCCTGTAGCAAAATGGAAACCTCCAATATTTTATTTTAAAAAAGAAACGAAGAACAAAAAGAAGTATTATTAACATATATAGAAAATAATAAGAAAACGAACAATATAAAATTCGACAACGAATTTACAAGAAAAAGACAATTTGATTTGTGGAGAGAATTAGTTGAAAAATTAATTATGTATTGGAGCTAAAAAATCCGCCGTGTAATGGAAAAAGTATTTTAATTTAATCCTTTTTTCATATAGTTTTCTTCCTTGATCTCGTATTAAATTGTTTTGTTTATTAAGATTATTTATTAATCAGAACTTAACACTAATGATTAATAAATAATCTTAATATAGTGTCTATGCTCTTAATAATTTATACATATAATTTACTATCTTTATAATTCTTTTTGTCGATGAATAAGATACTTTTTATTTTTGGAAAAATTTGCTATATAATTTTATCA